AATCCAATAGAGTGTGAGTGTAGAGAGATGGATGGTTTTAGGTGCAATCTAGTGTTTACCCACATCCACACCCACACTCACACCCATGCCGTGATCTCTCTGTCGCTAGATAGCTTTCTTTCTGTCTTTGAATGACAAATTCGACATCGCCTCGTAAATTTTCTTTATAAGACTATAATCAGCTTAAGTAAATTTGTGAAACGAGCACTGGCGTATCTGTTGTAAATCTTTTCTTCATATTTTTCTGTTGGCCATGTTCTGTTTAAGTTTGTTGACAATATCAGTACATTGAACTGCCTCTCTTTCAGGGACTAGCTTTATTGCAGAAGACAAAATCGACTTCTATTTGTTGATCATAAAAGTGTTAAATCGTATTCTCTCTTTGTACCAAAGCTTGAGATTTTTGCTATGTTCGAGTTCCTGATGATTGAATAAACTTAATTTGAATATTAGAAAAGATGAACAACGTAGAGTTGTCCTTTCATTTTTATCCATATCCACTTTTGGTGTGAAGCCTCGGTTAATATAATTGTTATTCGTGTGGCAATAGATTCTTCTTCTTTCTATAGCATTTTAACTGCGCAAAGATTACTATGATAAACATGAATGGTAGAAGCAATTATTCAACATCAACAGATAAAATGTTGTTTTGCATTCTCACAAATAAATCTAACGGTCAAGATAATGGCTGGAAGCCTATGTTTGGAGGGGACATAAAGGTAAACATAAAGTTTGCTCACAAAATTGCAAAGAAGATATCTACCTTGGTATTTATCATCGTCATACCATTTTTTCTCTTATGCCTAAAAATGATCTGCCTAGCTACACAACAGCCGAGCTGTATAAATATCCTTGATATTTTTGACTACTCGTTCGGTATTCTCTAGTTTTATCAGTATACAACGCTTTTAATTGTTAGTGTACTTAGGATTCTATTGTATGACGTTTTCATTAAGAGTGTGTGGGTGTGATTGTTTATTATTTACTCACACCTACATCCACACCCACACTCATATCCTGAAAATCCTTCTCTTCCTAGAGTTTCTTAGGTTTTGTTTAGTTATTGGAGTGAAGTATAAAATATGAGTATATGACTACATCGTTTCATAGGAAACTGAGCAGTGTGTGAAATATTTGTTGAGATGAGTTTAAAAACTTTGCCGCATATAGTGATGTGTCTCTTGAATTGAATTCACGTTGTATTGCTGTAATGTAGTTCTCTCCGTAGTAAAAATACTGAGAGTAATTGTAGGTGGTGCTCAGAAAAATTGGAAAAATTGACAATTCTATGCTGAAAGTAATTATGTTTTTCACTTCTTGTATAGTATCATGATTTTCTGAGTTTTGACGCCAAATGCAACCTGCCAAATTAACTATGATTAACCAAATAATAGACTGTACGAGTGAGAACAGGAGAAACATCCATGAATAAATAACAAACATAGGAAGAGCATGTGTAATTAAATATGCTGATATGATCGGCGTCAAAAGGAGAAAGACTGGAAAATGTATTAAAATTGATATTTGCTCAGTTCGTGACAAAGTTGCAAAAATTTTGTAGCGTTCTCTGAAAGAACCATCATACTTAGATGTACTAACATAGTGGACATCCTTTTTCTGACCCAATCGTCTTCCCATCTTATATGTCAAAGCATATCCTGGTACCAAAACATAATTGGCTATTCTGTAACCAAAAGCGTTGTAACAATTCCAGGTTGAACTGTAGATGGAAATCGTTGGACATTTTACTTGTATAATACAAAACCAAATGGTTTGTGCAGTCAGTGGAAGTACTAATAATGTATCAAGCCAGTTGAAGGAGTTGACACTGTCTTTCGACCAATCTGAATTCGATTTAGCATCTTTCTCAGTGCCGGTGGTATTGTCGGCTTTTATTCGCTTACTAAAAGGCTCATGAAATTGATGCTTGACAGTTGTTACTAAATACTTACTGTCTTAACCAATTTCTGTAATCAATTTCTAAGAGAGTCAATAGCGTACCGTGTTTGAATTTATTGAAAATTCGTTGGGCTGTTTGAATAACAAGTAGTTGTAAAACGACGAGCCAGTATGGCTGAATTGTTACTTCATCAAATTCTGGTATAGATAAAAGAGGGTTGAAATACGAGATCGGAGTTGACAAAGAATTGTTTGGCATTGTTGACATAATTGAAATGATGTTGGCAAGTATATATCACTTAGTTTATCTCCTTTTCTTTTTCTTTCTCTTTCGTCTACTGATAAATTTCACCAGCAAAATTCAACAACGATCTTTTATTTTCAAGCAGTAATATTTGCATTGCGTCTTTACGAAGAAAATGCACGAGATATTGACATTGATAAGCGTTTAGCTGTATCAGTATTTTTTATGGAGTCAAACATCCTTAGGGTGTGGGAGTGCGTGTGAATGTATGTGAGTGTCGGTGTAGGTATAATTCGTCTATTCAGTAGCGTCCACACTTGCGTCTACACTCATAGCCACGCCTACAACCACACTCACACCTACACTCCAAATTCACACACTCTCAAGTTCAAGCTGCTTTTACATGGAGTAAACCAACACTTTTTTTAATGATTACCTGTAAAGTATATGTGCACATCCGTATCGATTTTTACATAAGAAAGTAAATGATGAGAAAACTTTTGTTGCGCATATTTTTAATTGAATAAAAGTAGATGAAGGTTCCTTAGTTTTCTTCTTACTTCCTTCCTATAAAATACAAGTGAGGAACAGCTGTTCTGTTTCACATGTTTGTGATGCATTTCGTTATTTATATTATTACCTCTGAAACAAAGAAAAGAGAAAAAACGAGAGAGTAACACATTGTTTCTACCGACTGTGTTTCAAATTGTATACTCGACAGTCAGTTATTTTATCAATGAACGTGCGTTTTTTTTCTTTATGAAAAGTAATTGAACAATCACTTTTCAAGATGTTGTTGTAGATTGTGAGAAGAACTGCACGCACACTCACACCCTACTATTAAAGTTTGATTAATTTTTGAAATTGAGTTATTTTATGAGAAATATTATTTAGTTCTTTCCGATAAGTCAAAGAGACTACGTAAATCAGTATCTTGAAAAACAATTGATCAACTTTGGATGAAGATGAAAACGTAATTATAGTATTTGGCAAGGTGAATTAAGATGTTGATATTTAAATGTAAAAAATAGGGAAATGACTGCCACAAATCGAAGACAAAAAAAGAGAAATTGATGTTAGATTTGTAACTCATAATTTATATTTTCAGAAGTTCTCAGATTCAAGTACCCAGATATCTATTGTAAACCAGTCAGTCAGGCTAGTTCGGCATCACTTCTAGACAGCTCTTCAAAATTCCCTAATTAATAAAGCTACCTATATCTTATATTTTAAAATGACAACGAGTCCATCACTAACAATGGAACCGTCTGTATTGTTAATCGAGTTGATCGACCATTTTCGGGTCAAATGAAAGGTCTCACCGTCAAACTAACAGATTTAAAATATTACGTCCCCATAGCGTACCTAGAACAAGTTACATAAATTTCAAGGTATGTGGAATTTAGGTATAAAAATGAATCAGTAAAGGCTTTCTCCACTAGTGTAAGGACAAAACATGCTGTTGTTCGGGCCATATGAAAGAGAGCTCCTCCAAGCCCCTGATTGGCCCGAACAACAGCATGTTTTGTCCTTACAATAGTGGAGAAAGCCTTTACTGATTCATTTTTATACCTAAATTTCACATACCTTGAAATTTATGTAACTTGCTCTAGGTACGCTATGGGGACGTAATATTTTAAATTTATTAGTTTGCCGGTGAGACCTTTCATTTGACCCGAACATGGTCGATCAACTCGATTAACAATACAGACGGTTCCATTGTAAGTGCGTTATTATAGAATAATCATTGTCAAGGAGAATATTTATTTAGTTTAAATAAAGTCGAAATAGGGTGTGGGTGTGGGTGTCGCAGAAGGCATCTTCACCCACTCCGACACCTACACCCACACCCACCCACACCCACACCCACCCACACCCACCCACACCCACCCACACCCACACCCTCATCTTGACGAATTAATATTACGAGCATTGCTTAACATGAGTGCATCAAAAATAGGGGTCAGGGTTACTAATCGAAACAGAAAGTGCTGTACCTAAGTGCAAATTTTTATCGCAAGGTTCTAAAAGCGTGTCGAAGATGCTAAAAATATTGAAAGGTGCTGTATTGTTCATATATATTTGAGGATGTGGGTGTGGGTGAGTGTTGGTGTAGTTAAGTGTTGCTCTGCTCTTAACCTACCCACACCCACACCTAGAGATGTTAGCCGCCGATAAAATTTTTATTCGCAGCCGCCGCTGTTGATGAAATTGGGGTATACAGTTCAAACTTCTTCCTTTTCTAAATAACCAGTTAGGCGACAGAACAAAAAGGTAAGAAAGGCATAAATAGATGCGCTCACATTGCACATTTATTGACACAACGGACATTGTTGCTACCATTGTATTGTATCTGGCACGCGAAGAAATAATGATTACTCCGCCAGGATAACGCACTGTGTTCGAGATGTTCACACCAGACTTCATCCTTTCGAGACTTGATGAAAATAAACTGAAGTATAGTGGAAAATCCTTTTAGAAAAGAAGAGATCTACGTTGCAAGAGGTATACAACGTTATGTTTTTGTGAGAACGAAGGACTTCACCGTCGCCGCTGAAAATAGCTTTTCTCGGCGGACTTTATGCGTCGCCGCCGTCACCGATGGACTAATCGGCTAACATCTATACCCACACCCACATCCACACCCACACCCACACCCACACCCACACCCACACCCACACCCACCCCCACACCCACACCCACACCCCCACCCACACCCACACCCACACCCACACCCACACCCACACCCACCCCACCTATAAATGATCGAATTACACCACAAGATATAATTTTAAGACTATTAGAATATATAAATAATTCAACATATACAGCATTATCAAATATTGATATAGCTCATATGGATGAAAATGACAAACAAGAAAAAATCAATATTCTATTAGATAATCCACCTAAACAACCATATCAACGAAAATTTATTGAAAATTTATCAACTATGAATCGTTTATATAATTTTCTCTACAATGAATTGACAAATGATAAACGTTATAAGAAATAGCCAATTTTTTTCGTACCTGATTCTTATATATCAAATAATAATGATTTATGTATTGGTCAATTTTTGTTTATTAATGAAATAGTATGGGATGATCCAACACATTTATTACCCGAACATTATTTAATGAAACATTTTTATAAAGAATTAGAAGTATTATTCACAAATATATTACAAATACCATTGAAACCAAATGTAAAGTCTTA